GCACCGCAGCCGACTCGTCAATAAATGAGTACAAAACAGTGTTTCCTAGCACCTGTCGCTTACTGATTGTTTGGAATTATAAATATGAGCGTAGTTCGTCTGTTAATATTACATGCACTTTTTTGTGTTGTTTTTTTTTTGTTTGTTACTCAGATGCAGGCAGTGCGCTGCATGAGACAAAAAAGTAATATAGCCAAAACAACCGCATAGCCGCTCTTTAGTGTAGATGCATGTTGATTTTATCAGACGATGCTGCGATTATAAATGAGAGTGACTCCTGGTTAACATGTATTAAAAGGGGTCGTGTTTAGTCACTATTTAGTGTGGTATTTTTTTACAATATTCACTCATCATTACAGTAAAATAGGGCATTCTAAGTCAATATACTGCAGTATTTCCTCTCTCAATCAGTAGAAAATATGGTTAACACCCGGTCATGCATGAAAAAAAAATACCGTCATGTACCGTGAAACCGGTATAATTTTGAAAAATACTGTGATATAAATTTTTGGTCATACCGCCCAGCACTAGTATGACATCTCTCTCTGCTGTCTGTTTGTAGGGAATGTATTTTGTGTCATCTGTGCTCCTGATGAGGATGAGCATGCCTTTAGAGTACCGCACTATAGTGACGGAGGTACTGGGAGAACTGCAGTTTAACTTCTACCACCGGTGGTTTGACGTGATCTTCCTGGTCAGTGCTCTCTCCAGCATCCTTTTTCTCTACCTGGCCCATAAGCAGGCACCTGAGAAGCACATGACCCTGTGACCTCACAAGTGACCTCATCAGAGATAGACGCACAGGACTGAAGTGTCTCCTTCTTTTGTCTCTCCTTTTGGAAGGGCATTTATGCCTCTGTCCTGTAATGAGCATTATTGGGTCTGTATTTCCTGAATCAGGAGGGGCCCAGAAACAGAGTGTTTATTTGATTTTGGGTTCAAAAAATGTTGATTTGCTGTATAATTTAAATAGGCTCATATTAATGAAGGTGATGGAATGGTGTACAGTGTGGGTGTAGTTTTTCCTCAAAAGTGTTTATTTTTTATAAAGAACATAACATTTTCCAAACCAGGTGTTGTTATGTTTACCACGGTAGGTGAACAAACTAATTGCTCTCACTGGTTTGTTTGCCATGAAATCAGCTACTCTTGAGACATCTTTTATCATTAATAGACATCACATATATATATCTCAGCAACACCCAGAGATGTTACAGTAGACTGTTGGTCTCTTGTTTTTCTTTCAGGCCTGTTAATTGTTGCTATCATTCCATGTCTCATTAAGAACTGTAATAATTCACACGTGGATACTGTATTGAGTGGGAGTCATAATCTTCTACTGAAATCATGTCAACTAGAAAAGGGTTAAGAATATATGTACTAAGTTGGGCTTTTGTGTTGTCATTCTTTTGTGGTAGATGGACAGGTGCTTTTGATTTACTGAAAAGGCACTGTCTACATGCCAGAGATGTAACTGTCTCCAATTTATGCTCAAATACAGAAAGCTCAGGTTGCAATTAAAAGGTGTTTTCAAGCATTTCCACTGTTTCTTATTGGTACGTTCAACAGTTTGATGCTGATTTAAAAAGCTTAACGAGAAATAAATCATGTTTTGGGAAGAGTCATCTGAATGGTGTACACACTTAAACATGTTTTAATTATGTATGGTGCAGGTCACACCCCCTCAACGTATTTTGGAATTTTGAAATGACAAGATCTGCAAAGAGAATCCTCATGCTCATTGGCTGCCACTTCTATATACGCTATAGCGTAATGTTGTTTGGTGATGTGAAGAGCAAAAATGAGCCAATTAAACATTTATCATCATGCTTTGTTTGCGGAAACAATGTGAGAACAAGGAAATATATTTGATGATTGAGAAAGTCCTGAGTTGTGATGCCCAGGTTGCCTCTCTTTTGTTAGACAGGTAAGATAATTCATTATTGTGTAAAACTCACTAGTATCAATGTCTTTTACATTAAACATATATAGCAGCTATAACATTGTGTTTATATACATACAGTAAATATGTATAGATTGATACACTGTTCCCATCGTAATCAATTCAGGGTCATCACACTCTTTAGGAAAATACAGCAAGTCATTTGCATTGCCTTCAACCTATGTTTTATGAGGTTGTGCCTTCTCTGAGAACCGAATGCATGACCTTTGACTCACTTATGCCATACTTTCATGTAGGTACTGTTTGAGCTACAAGAACTCTGCATTTTATGCATCATCATATAGCATGGTCAATAACGTAGTAATAACACAGGAATACCAATGTAATAACACATTATTAACACAATAATAACACATAAATCACAGAGGAATAACAGTGACAACAGAAATAACACGGTAATAAAACAGGATTAACGCAGTAATAACACAGTAATACCGCAGTAATAACACAGTAATAACGCAGTAATAACACAGTAATAACAGAAATAACACAGTAATAACACATTAATAACACAGTAATAACACATAAATAACACAGAAATAACTCAGGAATAACACATTAATAACTCAGGAATAACACATTAATAACAGAAATAACTCAGGAATAACACAGTATTAACGCAGGAATAACACAGGAATAACAGTAATAACATAGGAATAACACATTAATAACACAGTAATAACATGGTAATAACATAAATAACAGGAATAACACAGTAATAACACATAAATCACACAGGAATAACACAGTGACAACAGAAGTAACACCGCAGTAATAACACAGGAATAACACATTATTAACACAGTAATAACATGGTAATAACATACATAACAAAGGAATAACATGGTAATAACATAAATAACTCAGGAATAACACATTATTAACACAGTAATAACACAGTAATAACATGGTAATAACATACATAACAAAGGAATAACACAGTAATAACATGGTAATAACATAAATAACTCAGGAATAACACAATAATAACACATTAATAACACAGTAATAAGAAAGGAACACAGCAATAACAGGATTAACTCAGTAATAACACCTGAATCACACAAATAACAGTGACAACAGAAATAACACAGGAATAACAAAGTAATAACACAATAATAGCACAGTAATAACACATAACACAGGAATAACACAGTAATAACAGAATAATAACAGAAATAACTCAGTAATAAAAAGAATAACTCAGGAATAACACAGTATTAACGCAGGAATAACTCCGGAATAACACAGGAATAACAGTAATAACATAGGCGGAATAACACAGTAATAACAGAAATAACTCAGGAAGAACACAATAATAACACAGTAATAACACCTAAATCACACAGGAATAACAGTGACAACAGAAATAACACAGTAATAACACAGGATTAACGCAGTAATAACACAGTAATACCGCAGTAATAACACAGTAATAACACAGGAATAACACAGTAATAACAGAATAATAACAGAAATAACTCAGTAATAAAAAGAATAACTCCGGAATAACACTAATAACAGAAATAACTCAGGAATAACACAGGAATAACACATTAATAACACAGGAATAACATTAAAAACACAGGAATAACACATTAATAACACAGTAATAACACATAAGTCACACAGGAATAACAGTGACAACAGAAATAACACAGGATTAACGCAGTAATAACACAGGAATAACAAAGTAATAACACATTAGTAGCACAGTAATAACACATAACACAGGAATAACACAGTAATAGAATAATTACAGAAATAACTCAGTAATAAAAGGAATAACTCCGGAATAACACAGTAATAACATAAATAACTCAGGAATAATACAGTAATAACACAGAAATAACTCAGGAATAACACAGTAATAACACAGGAATAACATTAAAAACACAGGAATAACACAGTAAAATACAGTAATAACATAAATAACACAGGAATAACAATGTAATAACACATAAATGACAGGAATAACAGTGACAACAGGAATAACACAGTGACAACAGAAATAACACAGGATTAACTCAGTAATAACACAGGAATAACACATTAATAACACAGTAATAACATGGTAATAACATAAATAACAGGAATAACACAGTAATAACACATAAATCACACAGGAATAACACAGTGACAACAGAAATAACACAGGATTAACACAGTAATAACACAGGAATAACAACGTAATAACACATTAATAGCACAGTAATAACACATAAAACAGGAATAATACAGTAATAACAGAATAATAACAGAAATAAATCAGTAATAACAGGAATAACTTCGGAATAACACAGTAATAACAGAAATAACTCAGGAATAACACAGTAATAACACATTAATAACACAGGAATAACACAGTAATAACGCAGTAATAACACTGGAATGACACATTAATAACACGGTAATAACACATGAATAACAATGTAATAACACATTATTAACACAGTGACAACAGAAATAACACAGGATTAACTCAGTAATAACACAGTAATAACGCAGTAATAACACTGGAATGACACATTAATAACACGGTAATAACACATGAATAACAATGTAATAACACATTATTAACACAGTGACAACAGAAATAACACAGGATTAACACAGATAACACAGGAATAACACAGTAGTAACACAGGAATAACAAAGTAATAACACATTAATAACAAAGTAATAACACAGGAATAACAAAGTAATAGCACAGTAATAACACAGCAATAACACATTAATAACACAGGAATAATACAGTAAAACAGTAATAACATCGTAATAACATAAATAACACAGGAATAACACAGTAATAACGCAGTAATAACACAGGAATAACACATTAATAACACAGTAGTAACACAGGAATAACAAAGTAATAACACATTAATAACACAGTAATAACACAGGAATAATGCAGTAATAACATAAATAACACAGTAATAACACAGGATTAACACAGTAATAATGCAGTAATAACATAAATAACACAGTAATAACACAGGATTAACACAGTAATAACACAGTAATAACACAGGATTAACACAGTATTAACACAATGAAACAAAATATTTTTCACTCCACTACATTTCTATCAAGGTCCTCGAAGTAGAAAGTCGTTACTATGTAGCAGCTTTGAAAGTCAGTGGGTGATTTTTTTCTTCTCTAAAATGTGACTTTTTTTCAGACAGTTTATCAGTAATTAGTCTTGTAGGGCTACATGAAGTGATTGAAATTGTGTACGTGAAAATATTACCTATAAAGCCACAGAAGAACTGGAAGGAAATTTACTTTTGGTACTTAAGTACTTGTAAAAGCAAGTACTTCTGTACTTTTACTTAAGTAAAAATCTGTCTTTACAACTTTTACTTGTAATGGAGTAATATTTGACCAGCAGTATCTGTACTTTCACTCAAGTAATAGAGTTGAGTACATTGGCCGCCTCTGGTTGTTTGGGAAGGTTTCAAGAAAAAAATAGAAAAGAAAACGCTCTCATCCAAAAACAAACTCCAGGATATTTGTTTGCTAGACACGACTGGAACTTTAAATGGGACTGGGTTCAAGGGCAGATGAAAAAAAAGGGAAAAAAATAAGCTTTTTAGCAGCAAAAACTCAAGATGGGTTTGCTGCACACAGGGATAAAAAAGTACCCCATGTGTACAATGAAATATACTGCTGGATCTTTAATGTTGTGGGCCTATTTTTCTGCCGGAGATCCTGGATATCTTGTTCAGATAGATGGCATAATAGATTCTACAAAATACCAATGGATAAACAATTTAAAACTGACGGTCCATGCTAGAAATGGGCCATGGTTGGATCTTCCAACAGACAATGATCCACAAACAAATATCAAAACAAAAATGGGTCACTGAGAACAAAACCAAGCTTCTGCCCTGGCAAACCCAGTTCCCTGAGCTGAACCCTATAGAAAATCAGTGTGGTGAACTGAAGAGGAGAAGCATCAACATGCAGCTGGAAATCTAAAGGGTCTGGAGAGATTCTGTATGAAGGAATGGTATCTGATCTCCTGTAAGATGTTCTCAAAACTCTTCAGGCATTATAGGTGAAGACTCAGAGCTGTTCTCTTGGCAAAAGGAGGTTGCAAAAATGATTGGATAAAAGGGTATGATTAATTGTGAACAATGTGTATTAGAGAAAAACATTTATTTCATAATGAGATTTCTCGCCCATTTTAAATTCTAATTCTGCAACGAAAGTTTAGATTTTTGTAAATTTTTAGAATTAAATATCTAAAGGATTGATAATACAGTTTAATTTTCACAGCCTTCTTTGAACATATTTACCAAGGGTATGAATAATTTTGAGCACAACTGTAAATGTATTTGGTCTTGGTGGAATAGATCTGCTACACTGCTGCTACTGTTGGTTACTGCTGTATTTGTAGATTATAGCTGCTGCTGCTGCAAGCAAGTACAGGAACTTGCTACTGCCAATACATAAGCCGATATGGTGCTGTGAGTATTTAAGACATACGTCTTCTGCACAAATAACATATATAAATAATCCCCCAACAAAGCTGGAAAGAGAAGATAAACAACAGCTAAAATGTGTATGCTGCTGACAGCATGAAAACATACTGCTGATATTCAATAATATGCTTGAAAGCATCCCCATAAGGCAGGAGAGAGATGAAATCCCCCGAAAAAGCAGATCTATTGCTAAGACATATGTACTGCTGCTGCTCCGGAGAGCCATGAGACTGCATGTTTGCTATCTATGTGAGCCTGCCTGCTTTGCAGAATGGCTTAACACTATTGCTGTGTGTACCTGATCAGTTGACCAGATAGTGTAAAACTAATGACTTGACTTAAATGTGTATCTGGGCTAGTGAAGCCCAGATAAATTAGTGGCTTAGCAGTGAGAACCTGGGTGCTGAATTATTTAACTAAGGACCTAAAAAACTGTCTGAGCCAATGTAGCTCAAACTTAGGTAGAAACGCACAATATGTGTGTCATTAAAAATGAATCACATTGTAAGCTGATAGATGAAGTCCCTCTCAGCAACCACCTGACTGTTAAATTTCATCATTCAATATATATCATAGTCATATCCTCTTACCTTTTTTTGTATCTTTATATTAAACTAATTTGTAATTATCTTTAACTATCACTAAACATAATTTTTCATAAACTCTAGTCTTCACTATCACTGAACGAAATGTTACAAGTGAAAAATACGTGGCCCCTTTAAGAGTGAGCGCTCTCTTCTGAACTGTCTGCATCGCATGATGTGCG